TTAAATATCGCATTTATATTATTTTCACGTGTGCGCCAGCTGACTGTTGTAGTTATTGGCCCAACACATAAATCTAAACTGCAAATATTTTTTGGCAACTGAAACTTGTCTTATTTCTCTTACTTTTACAGGTGTTATTTGCGCTGCTATTATTATATTTGGAGCTCGGCATATCAGCATTCATCGGTTCGTTACTGCTTTTCGTTGTATCTCCTATACAATACAAGATTATTACAAAAATGTCAGAGATACAGTTCTGTGTTCTCGTAAGTTGAAGTTTATTTGTCCTTATAATTTTTTTAATACTGTATCAATCCATGCTTAGTGTGTACCTTAGGAAAAAGATACGGCACTTTTCACAGTTTTTTTGGAAATAAAGATAATAACAGTGAATGATAATCGACAACACTGTTTTTACACAGATATAATATTCTTTATATTGACGATAACGTCATTTGTTTGTAGTCGTTTGCAGACGAGCGCTTAAAGAAGTCCAATGAGCTTCTACAAAGTATGAAGTTACTGAAATTATATGGCTGGGAAGAAATATTCTCTTCTATTATCGAAAGTATTCGTTCCAGTGAAGTCGGACAAATCGTCAGAACTGGAGTTTGCGTGATTATCTCAAGTAAGCGAATTGTAAAATGTGGACTTCAGTCAAGCTTGTTTCACAGTAAAAATATATAAAGCATGTTCTTATCATGATGAAAATCTGAACAAGGCGTGAGGTAGATTCCTACTGAATATTTTACTATATGCACTTGTTTTATTTCTACACAGCATTTCTTGCCCAATCAACTCCAGTAATTTCCACTTTTATTGTGAGTATGTTTAATTCGTTTTATTTACTCTATTTACTCACAGATACACAGATAATATTGATAGTAAAAATAAAAGCTATAATAACAATAATACTTTATACATTAACACACAAATACAATTACAAGGAATAGATTTTTTAAGTTGGTCTTCGCATCATCTAAATTCTATGCTTATTTTAAATATAAAGGTAAACTGTTTCATATGTTGTCGCAGATGTGGTTTACCAAGAACAATAATCTCAGTTTTATCGGTGTTCAATTTTAGCTTATTCTGACGCATCGACATCATTAATGTCATTAACAACACCATTGCAATCTCCTGAATTTGATTTAAAAGATAATTCAAATTGCATGCTATCGGCGTATAAGTGATGATTTGAATCATGATACTTGACAATGTGCATGTATACATATGTCCGCATACCGATCTTTGTGGAACAACATAAAAAATATACCACAGCCTTTAACATGAAACATCATCAACATATAACTTTGCGATTGGTGGCAATTGGAAAATATTTAATTAATTTAAATGAGTAATTACTTGATATTATTATGTTATTATATTATGTGCACAGTATTCCTATGTGTACATAATCTCTCTCTCTTTCTTCCTCTCATTGGTTTAGACGTTTGCCATCTATTCTAAAATAGGTCCATCACCTCTGACACCAGAGTTGGCCTTTTCTGCTTTGGCTTTATTCAATCACCTCGCCATGCCCCTGCTAGAACTACCAAACGCTATTTCAGAAACAGTAAATGCTATCATCAGCACCAGACGATTTCAGAACTTGTTTGATGCGTGTGAAGTCAGTGAATATGTTCATGGTCGACCGTTACTTAGCAAAGGATTCAATGACGTCTCAGATAGTATGGGAACTAGTGATGACAATGTAAGTTATGATATGTTAATCTATAATGAATAATCATTATACATGAATACCAATCACGTAGTATGCATTTGCAGTTAAGGTATACTTAGATCTACACCCATAGATTAATATTTAACACGTAATCCATCTCAGTATAGGGAATGTTCATTGCGTTTGACAGATCCGAAGTTGAAATATGGCATTGTACAAGTGACAAAAAACAAAAAGAGTTTGAATTTAATATATATTTAAAATTTTGTGTTTGACATTCGTTTTTTTTTTCATGATATTTTAGTCAGGGAAAAAGCAACTTAGTGTGGCTTACAACGGACATTCATCTGAACATGAGAGAGATGACCTCGTTCATCTGATCCACGATACGCCCCCACACTATGGTACCTTTGAATCGGAGTCTACGGAAACTCCCGTCACAGATATACCAGATCACCTCTCAATTCAGGTGAGTGATAGGGGTGGAAGGCAATTAAACTATTGATTTATATGTATGATAAATCATAAAAACCAACATATTATAATCAACACGTCACGTGTTTCTTAGTAGTTATCTGTTTGAACTTCTTGAAAAACACATTTGTATGAAAACGATTTTATGAAATGACAATTGTGCATTCTGGCAATGTGCAATTTGTTTATAGCGTTTTGTTTTTACTATGTGGTGAAAATAACTTGTTTTTAAAATTGATGTTGATAAATTTTATGGATGGAACATTACTAACTATCCTGTTTGTTAGGCAGAAGATTTGAAATTGTTAAAACAGATATGCTTCTTATTCCAATAATTTGGACATTTTGACATGTGTGACTTCTTTTATCTATATACCTTTAGATAAACAGTGGCAGTTTTGCTTGGGACAAAGATGAGGAAGCGGTGCTAACAAACATTAACCTTAATATACCTACAGGTAGGTTGTGTGTTGTGTACGTATCTTTATATTTCAGTTTATGTGTAGATCATCAATATACACATTATTTGCAACTGCTGCGCTTCTTAAAAGCAGTTAAATTCTGTCTTCAGGGATACCTTCACATCAAATGTCTTTCCTTTTGATGTCC